TGGGCCTATCTATACACCCACCAAGTTTGGCTAACCCTCCGCCAAACACCCTGTACATATATTTAATTCTAAAGTGTTGGCAAAATACCAAGAAAAATAGTTGAATTATTTACTCAGAGATACCTTTTCCTTCGGCATCTGCAAATTTTCTTTCTGCATAGGTTATTTGTAATCTTTTTCTTACACAGCCGCGAATGTTTGTCAACTTACTTGTAGCGCTTATAATTATTAAAAAGTGAAAAATAAAAAAAATTAAATAAAAATAAATATTCAAATGTAAGAATTGATGGTGAGAACAGCCTGTGAAGAAGACCAAATATATGGTTGAAACGTTGGCATACCTTTTAAAAAAAAGGAAGTTTCATTTCCAAAGTCCTAATCCCATTATCTCTACTCTATTTTTAACACCAAGGACGTTATCTCTAAAATCCCTAATGGCCATTTCCACTAAGCACAAGTTAAGTATACAGTTTACTATCCTAAGGTTAGATTTTGCTTTCCTCAAATGTTTATTTTGTTTCATTTTTCATTGAGTATCACTTAACTTTAAAAGTGAATATGGATTTTAATAACATTCTTGATGATCTCGAAATATCCGACCGTAGAATATGGGTTCCCCAGAAGAATGTATGACCGTAGAAATTATCATGATGAGTTTGACGACCGGCTTTTTTTGGCTCAACTCCCTATGTTTGGTTCTATTCTCCGACTCCACGCTGCTCCAGGTACCTTCGTGTTCCTTCACACACAAAACAGAATGCAGGATGGATAAAAACAAACTTTATGTAACCGGAACATTTTTTTTCTTTCCTACCTATAATAGTCTAATATTGTCTTCTCCCGATGAAATCTCAAAGATTTTAATGTATCATTACTAGCAGGGGAGTATCGATAAATAGGGTCGCACTGTGAGACTTTGGTTTGGTGTGAATGTAAACGTAGAGACGCAAGTTGCAACTTACTTCCTGCTTTCTAGCAGCAAGTCGCACGTCGCATACTACTTTGGTGTGAATGCCCACTAACAGAAATTGTTCTCTATTCTGTCAAGTGTCATTTGATTTATGGGCTGTTCAGTTGTACTCGCTCTACTTGCTAGAAAAATCAGAAAGATCTGCCAGGAGTTCCTATTTATCTATATATATAAAAATTAATGCCACTTTTCGTTGTAATTTTATAACTCAAGAACGGGCTCACCTAGCCAAACCAAATGTTTAGGCTTTGTTCGGACTATTTATTAGATGGTTTATGTGAAGTTTGCACAAAATCGGTCGAGCGGTTCTTCATTTATCACATTTTTTGTAATAAATGAATTATTCAATAAATGGAGGATCATTTTGGTAATGGGGATTTTGCTGTCAAATTGCAGCATGTTGTTATGTCATTAATGTGGTCATTTCATTACTTAAAGTCTGTTTTTTTTTAAAGATAATTTCTCAAGTCAAAAATTTAGTAACTATGTTGGCAACACAAGCCTTTTTTACATAAAAAATTAAAAACATTGACAATTTTACATTGTATTGCCAACATAATGTCATTTTGACTTTTATCTTTAAAAAAAAAAAAAAAAAAATATTTTTTTTACTACTAACCTGAGAAATAGACATTATTCAATCTATTTTTCTAAGAAAAAATTGAATTTCTCTCCCTAGGTTAATAATGAAAATAATGAAAAAATACCTAGGTCAATAATGAAAGTGACGTCATGACGCAAGGATATTGTCATGTTTCTATTGGTTCAATTTCAATTTCATACGTCAATTTGAAAAAAAATACAGGTTTCTGTAGGTACATAGGAAGTTATATAAGATGTTAATAGAGGGCAGCACTTTCAAGAGGACGTTCACAAAAAATAATTAGAACGCAGACTTTAAACAATTTTTTTAATTTTTTACTAGCAGTAGTAAAAAAAATTCTATATATTCCTCGGTAGAGAAAGTCATTATATACCTCAAGCATTATAAACCTCGGCGCTACGCGCCTCGGTTTATAAAAGCTTTCGGTATATAATGACCAACTTCTCTACCTAGGTATATAATATACTATTATTTATTTATGAAAAAAATTTACTAAGCCCGCATACGGCGCCATCTCTTATAACCGATACCAAGTTTATTTTGTATTTTGTATACTGCGCCATCTCTTATACCTGGAACGAAGCTCAGCATTGCAAATACAGTAGAACAATGCTGCTCAGAAACTGGAGCTATTTCAAACAGAACTAAAATCTGTTTTTTTTTTTAAAGATAAAAGTCAAAATGACATTATGTTGGCAATGCAATGTAAAATTGTCAATGCTTTCAAATTTTTTATGTAGAAAAGGCTTGTGTTGCCAACAAACTTACTAAATTTTTGACTTGGGGTATTATCTTTAAAAAAAAACAGACTATTCCACTATTCCGATCAGATAGAGTGGTGCAGAAAGAGTAGATCAGTGCTAGGACTCTGTAACGAATAGAGATATTTTCTCTATCTCTATTGACGTCTCTTCTCTATTGATTTGGACAAGAGAGAAGAAGCAAGCAAGTGCCATAGCGATAGGGATAACGATCTCTATCCGTTACAGAGTTCCAGCCCAGATAGAGTAGAACAGATGGAGTAGTGCAGTGCATGCAGTGCAGATAGAGTGAAACAGGGCTGCGCTAGAAATTTTTTTTTTGTTTTCTTTACATTCTTTGAATATTCCTGTTCCTGAGTTTATTTATTTGGTGGTACACTTTACAAGGATAATGCCCACAAGCTGCCTGAAAAAGGATGATGTAAAATTTTAATTTTAGGTGACTTCTGATCCAGAGAGTAAACATTAATTTTCTTCAACCAAAGCCAAATTCACCATCGAAAAAAACTGAATTTAATTCAGCTAATAGATACGTTAACACAACATTTAATAGGTATATTTAATAGTTCAGAGGCGGTACGAAGTTCGCCGGGTCAGCTAGTGAGCTTATATAAGAGAAAAGTGCACGCCGATCTGCTGATGAGATCTGCTTTGAAGCCAAGCAAAGCCGACAAAGCAGTAAAAATGTACAGCCTATATTTTCCCTGCGTTTTTCTTCTCATCAAATTTAAACGAAGATAAATAACTCATCGGTGAAGTCACCGATTAGAATAAAGACGAGGGAATAATCAAATGTCATTGGAATAATCTAATAGGTTCGGACTAGTTCAGAATCAGTTCTGATTTGAACTGCGCTTGCACAAATAAAGTCTGTTTTTTTTTTTAAAGATATTTCCCCAAGTCAAAAATTTAGTAACTATGTTGGCAACACAAGCTTTTTCTACATAAAAAATTTGAAAGCATTGACAATTTTACATTGTATTGCCAACATAATGACATTTATCTTTAAAAAAAAAACACATTTTACTTTTGTTTGTGATCAAAACTATACAGTAAGGGGCAGGCTACTAGGTATATAGGATGTAACCTGACGAATTTGCAGGCGTCCGCATGCCGCAAAATGACATCTATTTAGCGCTAATTGATGACAACCAGGTAGAAACAACCAAGGAGAAGGACCTGTCACTCAAAAAGCATTCATTACACCAGAGCTGCTTTCGGGTGACACCCTTTGAGCGCTCCTGAGTTACTCCGAAGTACTCCGGCTACAGTTTGACCCGTTCGGATTCAAGCGTTCGAGTGCAAAACGCATGGAGTATTACAGGTCACTGACAGGTGTGAAATATTCTAGGAGCAAGAGCAACGAGTTAGACATTTATTTGGAGAAAATTATCCGATAGATTTTTTTCTGCATTGCCACTGCTAGGGTTGCTAACCATTTTCAAAAATACGGGTGCGTTACTCCCCGAAACCATAACGTCCAGGAAAATAATTAGAAGCAAGAAGCGAAAGAAATTATGTTGTTGGAATTAGTCACCTAACGAAACTCCAACTAAATCGATGACTTGCGCTTGCGCACGAGATTGACTCAAGTATAAGGATGGTGAGTAGGCTACTGGAAAAAAAATAAGTATCATTCGTACAAAGTACGAAACTCCCAAAAAATTGATCCTAAGGACAACATCAGGCGAATAGAGTTATGAATAAGGCAAATGAAAATGAAGATTTCCCTAGAAAAATTATCTTTACAGATGAATCAACATTTCAACTCTATGGTTGACAGAATCCTAGTCCCAGCCGTTATTGGTCTAAAGAAAATTTAGATAGGTATTTTGAACTTAGAACCCAGCGTCCTCAAAAGGTAATTGTATGGAGAACATGTTATTGGGCCGTAATTCATTGATGGTAACTTGCTTGGTCCAAAATATATGAATCTTTCGCAACGGCAAACAGAAATTAGCGATTCTTGGTAAATTAGGCAATCTCAATCACGTGATTTTATATTGGCCGTTCGGGTCAAATATTGCCGTGACAAGGGTGACAAGCCGGATGCAAGCCGGTGACGTTCAAAAGGAGAGTATTTGTGTTCTGACCCTTGCTTTCGAAGTGAATTTTATAGTCTTTGGTGTTTCTACGTTTTTTTATTGGTTTTGGCCATTGTTGTTTTCATTTTGAATTTTATAGTCTTTATTATTTCAACGTATTTTTTAGTGTTCTGGCCCTTGTTGTTTTCAAAGTGATATTTATAGTGTTTATAGTGTTTCTACGTATTTTTTAATTTATTAATAAATTCTGAGATGGAGAGTGAATAAGGTATTATTATTAAGGGAAAATCGAGCCTCTGTTAGATCCTTTCTTTTAATTGCAGCAATCCGTAAAGCCCTGCGTTGCCAATGATTTAAAATAGCAGGAACTGAAAAAAAAAATCACATTTTTCCTGTTACCTCGACTTCCACACCCAATTACGATGCAAATCGCTGGCATTTTAATTAACACAATACCTAAACACACAAAGAAATACAAAATCCGATAATTCAAATCTGGACGTTTGTCCAGAATGTGACAGAATCAATGACATACAGAATAAACAACACAGCTTGACCCAATGCTTGACCCGAACTTCCATATTGAATTTCGTTTTTGACAGGTCAGTAGATTGCCTAATTTTGAGCGCTCCTGAGTTACTCCGAAGTACTCCGGCTTCAGTTTGACCATTCGGTTTTAAGCGTTTGAGTGCAAAACGCATGGAGTATGACAGGTCACTGACAGGCACATAATCTGACCGGTGTGAAGTGTTCTTAGGAGCACCCGAAAGCGGCTCCAGCAGCAGTCCAAGTCAATGACGTTGGCATGGTGAAACATATTATGCCATTGAAACAAAAACATTTTTTTTTTAATACCTATTCGTATAATCATTTCGTCGCCAGTCAAAAATAAAAAAAATCAACATCAAAGTTCTCACAAAATATATACGATAAGGGTAATCGAAAAAAGATGGAACTCAAAAGAACGTCGAAGATGATGCAATCCAAATTAGTTTACCCGCCCCTACCAGAACATCCGACCGTATGGGAAAAATTTAAACTGAAAATGGAAGGCCTGATCCAGGTCAACGAAACCCATCCCAATACCATCGAATACTTCAAAAGCGAAATATCAATTCTAAGAGAGAAAAAGCGCCACTGCAAAAATTTTAAATTTACCATTCATCCATTGAGTAAATTCAACGAATTCTATGAGGTATGGTGCTTCTTTTTTTATGCACTTCTGTTGATCTTCAAAGCATTTGATTTTGGCTTTATCAGAATATCTATAGACGACCCTTTTGCAGCATATGCTGAATTTATTATTGTGTCTATTATTCTGGATGTTTTATCTCTTATAAATATTTGCTTGCAATTTTTGATTGGTTATACTGTTCCAGAAAATCGAACCATTGAGTTATCTCTAAAACAAATTATGTTGAAATATTTGTCCAGTGGTCATTTTTATTGTGACCTATTTTCATCGATACCTCGTGTAATTGGTTGGGATTGTAACGTTTACATTTATCTTACTCTGCTAACGTCAAATCTTTTAAAACTGAACAGAATCAGAACTTTCATTACGCTCATCAAGCCCACAGCAATGTTTTTTGGAATAAGATCAAGTACCAATATATTTCTTCTTGGCTTTTTTTGTATTGTCACCCTCATAATGCATATTATGACCTGTTTCCAAGTGGGAATTGCTAGATACAGAATAGCTATTACAAGTAAAGCATCAGTAGCAAGTTATTATTTGATTAAGTTACCTCTCGAGGAGCAATACATAATCACTTTCTTCAGAAGCACTGAATATATTTTTCTTATTGATATACCTAATTTAATATCGGGTCTTGAACCAGAAGAAGTACTTCTTGAATTTGTGAGCTACATTGTGGGAAAAATTTTGTTTGCAACTGTATGGATTATAACGCTTTATACCTTTATGACTAAAAGAGTACTAAGGGTGAGATTTGAAGAAATAATAACCGAACTTGGAGAATATATAAAGGCCAAACAGCTACCTGATTGTCTAAAAACACGTCTTCTAAAATACTATACTTATAAATACCAAAACGTATTTTTCAATGAACAATTAATGGTCAGCATACTTTCGAATACTTTAAAAAAGGAAATTGATGTATTTCTTTGCAAGTCCTTGCTCAAACAACAAAAAATATTCGCCACTGTACCAGCAAAAACTATTGTCCAAGTTATGAGCTACTTAGTTCCTCAAATATACTTACCAAATGACTTGGTGATCCAATCAGGCACCGTCGGAGATTGCATGTATTTCATCGGCAGCGGCACCGTGGCTGTCATTTCTCCATCTGGAAAAGAGTTATGTCATCTAATTGATGGGGATTTTTTCGGCGAAGCTGCCCTGATAATCAAGGAGCAGAAAAGATTTACAAATATTATTGCGATTGAGGCTTCAAAAATTTACATGTTGCACAAAACGCACTTCGAGAAACTTTTCGAAAAAACCGACAAGGTCTATACAATTTTTTTGGAGACGGCCAAGCGGAGGCTTGAAGAGACGAGAGCCGCGGAGGTGGAGTATAAGAAGAAATTTTTTGATCAAGCCCATAAGAAAGATTAGCAGGTATGATTTTTTTAATAATAATAATAGAAAAAATGTATTTCTAAATTATTAAATCTTATTTCATTATCGGTATACATATTGTCACGGCTCTGGGTTGCCTGCCAGAAATCCTGGGTTCGTTTCGTTTATTCCAAAAATCAAAGTCCAATTAACACAGCAATAATTTATTCCACCTAACAATACACTCTGACACTAATTACTTTAATAACTAACTTAACAATTAAACTCTTCATAACAATAATCACTATTCAACTCGTATCAAAGTCAAACTTTAACTTAAAACTTCAAAGCAATAGCGGCCTTTATATATCCCTAAATCTATTCCTGTAAAATCTAGAATACACACGAAAATCTTAGGGCGGCTTCTCATGAGCGTAATTTGACATTTATGGCGTGACAGCGTACCTGAATGCAGAATTATGATTGGCCAAAATCCCGCCATATTGGATACGCTGACACTCTGCCGCAGATACGCCAAAAGTTGAGCAAAGTTCAACTTTTCGCGTAAAAAATCAGCGTTTTTAGAGGATAGGGTTGCAACCGTTTCGTTTTCTTGATTTTTGTGATTTACTGTCCATATTTGTAACTATTTTGGAGCTATAGCAAAAACAAATATAAATTTGTACAATCAAAATTCAAAGAAATATTTCAAAATTGAGGAAAAAAAAATAATTTTGACATACGTGGCGGCGTTAATTCTCCACTCCATGTGAATGTTGCGACAAAATTCACGTATTCAGCATTTGCACCAGTTATTTCCAGTTTGCGCCCATGAGAAGCCGGCCTTATTTTCCCAATTAAAGTAGAATTTACTAGATTATTATAGGAATCCGAATTTCTAGGGTATTCGACAGCGTAGGATTCTTGACAGCCTGGCAAACGCCACAATAATTTAATAATACCGCAAATACTCTAGTATATCGATATGAAAATCTAATGCCACTGTAGGTCGTAAGCGCTGGAATAGCTGCGCACTTATCACTGCGCATTGGTTATGATGGCACTTCCGCTTCCACATTCCCGTCCCATTTACCGAGATTTGCCCACATACCACCGTAAAACATGTTTACACATCAAAATCCTAATTTCATTAATTCATTTTATCCTTCTTTTCTTTATTTACAGCTTCAGCCTGCATCATGTCCACGGGTTTTTTGAAAAAGAGCTTGTCATCGTTTTAATAGTTAACTAGTTAGTGAATAGTTTTTTTTTTAGTAGATGTAACTTAGTCTTCGATAACTAGATTTTATTCCAGAAATTCGTCACTGGATATATTATTTTTACTAAATAGGCAGTAGATTAATTTATTTTGTGACATTTTACGATTTGTATTGGACTCTGAAATGTTTTAATTTGGTTATTGTGTCATTAAAATGTTTACCGACGATTTTTTTTGCTTTTTTTTTGGTATTTCTTGTACTCGAACCCCTTTGAACAGTTTCTGAGAAATTTTAACAAACCGTCCATAATCTTAGCTTGGGGAGGTTTGTAGTAGTGTGGGTACCTACCAATAGTTTAAAGAGAGTTCCACTAGGAAGCATACTTTTTGCCGCCTCCCTATAAGAAAATTGATAAATATGTTTATATTAAACCATATACGTACCTATGTAATTTTCACATTTCTCACTGGTTTGAAGGTTCGAAAATACCATATCATACATAATTCGGTTAAAAGTTTTCACAAGACTTTGCTGGTATTGCCAAATAGCTAAATTCGTAATGCGATGTTGAAATTGGTCTTGGGAAATGCTTTCCCCAAGTTGGCGGTCAGCCTACTTACTTGGATGTTAGAACCCATCCAACTGAACTTGGATTAAACAGTTTGGTTCGATCCAAGTGAGGCACGCGCAGCGTCCAAGGGTACTTGATTCAAGTACACTTGAACCGTATTGACCTAGTAGAGCGAAGGCTTGTATATACCCCTCATCCCCTGCTCGTGGGAATTTCTGAGCCATATATTATTTTTTGGTTGGTATTGCCATGTAGTTTAAAGTTTTAGTTGTTTGCCTCATGCCAATTACAGCATAACCCGGAGAAATTTGGAAAACCGCGAAAATACGGAAAAATGAATTTTTAAAAACTTATTCACATTTCAATGAAATTTTTTGGTGGAGAAGGTGTGTTTATAAATTATATTTGTAACGGAATTCTTTTCTTAGTTTTTCATGGTTTGTTTATCGGGAGAATAGCTAGAAAATTAAATTATTAATTCCTTTTTCTACAAACGTCACTAAAAGTGTAATTTTTAACGGATGCTGTCAGTGTCTAAAATGCCATTTTATGACACTGGTGTTAAAAGTGATTACTTTTAGCACTAGTGCTAAAAGTAATCACTTTTAGTGCGTTTGTAGAAAAAATAGTGATGATATTCGTGCTAAAAGTGATTTTATTTTGTTCAAAGGGATGGAACACTCCGCCTTTGGCGTCGTGTCCCAAACTTCCCTTTTCACAAAATAAAATGTCACTTTTAGCACTTATATCATAAATAACTATTTTCTATATGTTTTTTTATTTGTAAATCTAAAACTTAATAAAAAATTTCAATTGTTTAAGCATTAATGATAAACGAAGCAGAAAATTCCAAACAGCAGAGCAGCATCTATAATCAATAGGTTTCTTCTTCATCTTCATCGCCTCTATGCAGTAAAGCTAACTAGCTCTGGCTCATTTCCATCTTCAAACTCATCTGGATGATAGCTTTTCATAACATCGGTTAGTTCGGGCGGCAACAGAACCCTTTCAATCCAATCAATCTTCAGTTGTTCATTTTCCAATTTCCAGCCATGTCTCACTGGACTTGGTGTTATGGGTTTAGCGATGTGGGCATTATTCCATATGTAGCACTGGTAGTTTATAAAACTGATGTGGTTTTCAAGTGAAGCTTTGCAAGAAAGTAGTAGACTCAATTCAACACCTTGTGCACAGAAATGGTGTATGTCCCTTTGTTTGTTTCCAACTCCTGTATCAAATAGTAACACATTTTTAATTTCGTTGGCGTACCTTAACAGCAACGTGTGTGTCTGGTGACCTAACTCTGATAGGCGAATCATCTTGATGAGATTAAGAAGCACGGAATTCATGTAAAATAATTTTGATACAGGAGTTGGAACAAACGAAAGGGTCATGTCTTTACCATTTCTGCGGATTTGCGTGTAGCAAAGAGCCATTCTATTTTGAATAATGATGCACTATCCTGATGTGACACTACTAGTACCTTTCTTCGTCGTGGAAAGTTGTCGGCGAAATCTAAATTAGAAGACTCTTTCAGAATATATTGGACCTTACAAAAAGGTTTCCAGTTTCCACTAACACTGGTTACCGCAAAAACTCGCCTATAGCATAATTTGTTCCAATTACCTTGCGTTGGGTATTTTGCTCAAAAAGCAGAGCGTGCTGAAGCGGAGCCGTAATCACGTGACCAGCGAGCGTACAGGGCAGTTAAAATTTTGATGAACGAACGCGAATGAGCCTGCACCGAGCATAATTTTTAAATAAACAAACGGTGAATTCAAGCTCGGAGTACTCAGATCAAAATACCGAACGCACGGCAATCCAACGGCGTCAAAAATGGCTCCTAGGTCCTTATTCTTGAAACAGGGGAGCAACGATCCCAGGAGAACAAGTATTTCGTCTTTCTCAATGATATGCAAATGATATTAGGTTTGTTCGGACTGGTTCTTAATTGCACTGCGCATGTGCATTTGTTTATTTATGCTCGATATGAACAAATGCGCAAGCGCAGTTCCATTCAGAACTAAGTCCGAACAAACCTATTACAAGTAACAAAGACGGAACACTCGTACGCCTGGGAACACTGCACCACTGTTTTAGGAATAAGGATCCTGGGGGCGAGTTCTCAGATCTGACACTTTTCTGACATCGTATTCTAACCTCAAAAAAAAACCGGCCCTATGTCGCGTGTTTTTGATAGGCTTTTCCATAGTTTATCATTCAGTTATTCCAGAACTGACAGTTGATGACGGAATGTACCCTATGTTTTCGTTTAGTCCAAGTCGATGACGTTGACATGGTGAAACGTAATGCCATTGAAACAAGAACCAATTTTTTCAAATATCCGTATATTTTCTCTTTTGCTAGTCAAAAATAAAAAAAATTGACATCACAGTTTTTGCAAAATATATATGATAAGGATAAGGGTCATCGAGAAAAGATGGAATTCAAGAAAACGTCAAAGACGATGCAATCCAAATTAGTTTACCCGCCCCTACCAGAACATCCGACCGTATGGGAAAAATTCAAACTCAAAATGGAAGGCCTGATTCAGGTCAACGAAACCCATCCCAATAGCATCGAATACTTCAAAAGCGAAATATCAATTCTAAGAGAGAAAAAGCGCCACTGCGAAAATTTCAAATCCACCATTCATCCATTGAGTAAATTCAACGAATTCTATGAGGTATGGTGCTTCTTTTTTTATGGACTTCTGTTGATCTTCAAAACATTTGATTTTGGTTTTATCAGAATATCTTTTGAGGGTCCTTTTGAATATATACCTGGATTTGTTATTATGTCTATTGTTCTGGATGTTTTATCCCTTATGAATATTTGCTTGCAATTTTTGGTTGGTTATACTGTTCCAGAAAATCGAACCATTGAGTTATCTCTAAAACAAATTATGTTGAAATATTTGTCCAGTGGTCATTTTTATTGTGACATATTTTCATCGATACCTCGTGTAATTGGTTGGGATTGTAACGTTTACATTTATCTTATTCTGCTAACGTTAAGTCTTTTAAAACTGTACAGAATCAGAACTTTCATTACGCTCATTAAGCCCACAGCAATGTTTTTTGGAATCAGATCAAGTACCAATATATTTCTACTTGGCTTTTTTTGTATTGTCATCCTCATAATGCATATTATGACTTGTTTTCAATTGGGAATTGCTAGATATAGAATGGCTATTACAAAAAAATTCTCAGACAAATCCTACGCAAGTTATTATTTGATTCAGTTACCTCTCGAGGAGCAATACATAGTCACTTTCTTCAGGAGCGCTGAATATATTTTTCTTATTAATATACCTCATTTAAGAACATCTCTTGAACCAGAAGAAGTACTTCTTGAACTTGTGAGCTATATTGTGGGAAAAATTTTGTTTGCAGCTGTATGGATTATAACGCTTTATACCTTCATGGCTAAAAGAGCACTAAGGGTGAGATTTGAAGAAATAATGACCGAACTTAAAGAATATATAAAGGCCAAACAACTACCTGATGGTCTAAAAACACGCCTTCTGAAATACTATACCTATAAATACCAAAAAGTATTTTTCAATGAACAATTAATTGTCAGCATACTTTCGGATACTTTAAAAAAGGAAACTGATGTATTTCTTTGCAAGTCCTTGCTCAAACAACAAAAAATATTCGCCACTGTACCAGCAAAAACTATTGTCCAAGTTATGAGCTACTTAGTTCCTCAAATTTACTTACCAAATGACTTGGTGATCCAATCAGGCACCGTCGGAGATTGCATGTATTTCATCGGCAGCGGCACCGTGGCTGTCGTTTCTCCATCTGGAAAAGAGTTATGTCATCTATTTGATGGGGATTTTTTCGGCGAGGCTGCCCTGATAATCAAGGAGCAGAAAAGATTTACCAATATTATTGCGATTGAGGCTTCAAAAATTTACATGTTGCACAAAACGCACTTCGAGAAACTTTTCAAAAAGACCGACGAGGTTTATAAAATTTTTTTGGAGACGGCCAAGGAAAGGCTTGAAGAGACGAGAGCCACGGAGGTGGAGTATAAGAAGAAATTGTTTGATCAAGCCCATAAGAAAGATTAGCAGGTATGATTTTTTTTTTAAATAATAATAATAGAAAAAATATGTATTTCTAATTTATTAAATGTTATTTCATTATCGGTATATATATATAGGCCTTGCATCAATCCTTAAAAGCTGTAAACGGGTGCATAGACATTAAACAAAAACCCACAGTGAGGCATTGGGCAACAGAGTTGGAAGTTCCTCTTTTAAGAAATAATGACTTCCTTTAAAGTGAAGAACGCACCTTTATTGTGATATAGCTGTTGGTTTATGGATGACCGCCGATGGAAAAATGTGAATAGTGTAACAGAAGATGTAAGATTGTTGATATGCTCTTGACTTTCAAATTGATTACTGAAAGAAGACAACACCAATTCAAGTAAAACAACAAGTTATGGGAATCAGTTGCAATGGACTCACAGGTATCAGGAAGTTAAAAAAAAAACGTAGAAGTTATGATAGTTCAAACATTGCGTACTGTTAAAATCCATTAATTTTCTCAGATGGAAATATAGAATGTTTGTTCTGTTAGAGAATATTCCGTAACCTCAAAATACTTTAATAATACCGCAAATACAGCGATCTACTATATCGACATGAAAATCTAATGCCCCTGTAGGTCGAAGGCGCTGAAATAGCTGCGCAATAATCACTGCGCATGGGTTATGATGTCACTTCCGCTTCCACATTTCCGTCCCATTTAGGTACCGAGATTTGCCCACATACTGTAAAAGATGTTCACACATCAAAATCTTAATTTCTTTAATTTATTTTATCCTTCTTTTCTTTATTTACAGCTCCAGCCTGCATCATGTACACGGGTTTTTTGAAAAAGAGCTTGTCATCGTTTTAATAGTTAACTAGGTAGTTAGTGCATAGTATTTTTTTAAGTAGATGTAACTTAGTTTTCGATAACTGTATTTCATAATTTTCAGAAATTCTTTACAGGATATAATATTTTTACTAAATAATGAATCACCTAGGCAGTAGATTAATTTATTTTATGAAAGTTGCATTTCTCTTTGTAAAAGAACACCGATTTATATTGTTGTTATTGTACTCTGGAATGTTTTAATTTGGTTATTGTGTCATTAAAATGTTTAACGATAATTTTCTTTGCTTTTTTTTCTGGTATTTATTGTAATAGAACTCCTTTGAATAGTTTCTCAGAAAGTCTAACAAACCGTCTATAATCTGCCTAGCTATGCTCATAGTTTCTTAGCTTGGGGAGGTCCGTAGTGTGGGTACCTACCAACAGTTTAAAGAGGGCTCCACTTGACTGTATAGAACTAATTTAAGAAAAAAAAAATGAAATATGGTCAATCTAGGAACTATTCAAGCTGTAATCAAAAATCTGTAAATAATTCATATTCCTAAATAAATCGTTAGGTAGGTAGAGTGGGAATCATTGCAATTGGCACATACTATACTCTTTTAACATCCCTCGTATTAAGTCAACATTTTATTGGTTAGAATTTTGACTGATCTATTTAGTGCAGTGATGTACACATTTTTCTTTCCTTTAGCAGTTCATTAAAACTATCATGTTCACCACTGATTTAATAATCTGACACGATTTTGAAGTTATCTGTGTGTCAAACATAGAATAGTGTCAAAGTAGTTATGTTCTGACACATTACGGGGGATGTTTATATAATGTGTGCCAATTGCAATGATTGTCACTGTACGCACAATATAAGTAGGTACCTAATTAGTGCCTTCTCCTGAATATAAAATTAGAATCCGATTTTTTTTTTCTAAAATTACTAAAATAGTGACACCTATTTATAAACCAAAGGTGAGTTGATATTGGACACTATTAAATGTAAGACAGTTCTAACAGCCAAATAAATTTTGTTATTTTTTGTCATTTGACATAAATCACCTAATTCAATTCAACATTATACTGATTATATAACTCACTGTACATTATTCCCATATGACACGAGAGGCTTAATAAGTGATAAGCTTTTTGGGATTATCGCGCTTGGTGGCAATATTTATAGCAAATTCTATTATAGAAAAAAATGAAAAATTAATAAGATATTAAAGTTTAGTTCGTTGTATAGCCTTTTGAATACCACTCGATATTTCAGGATTACCTAATACTTTTACCTGACACTCAACGCGTTACCAGCAACACCACTCCTCCTTCGGAGTCGTGGTGTTGCTGCGTAACGCGTTTCGTGACAGTTAAAAGTATTATCCGGTAATCCCAAAACCTCTTGTGGTATTACATTCGAAAACAGCCCTGGGGCTGTTTTCATTCTATGACTTGCCTTGGACGTTGCTGTCAAAAAAATTTCTCTCCGAAAAACCCGCGGAGATTGATAAATGCTCAATATTATATTATAACAACTTTCTCATGCTTGTTGCTTTTAGAAAACAGCAACAAGCTTTCGAAATCTGATATAAATTTTTTTCGAACAATGTCCTTGGGCATACCTACTACTGAAAGCAACCCTAGGTGAAATTGCTGTCAAAAAATGTTCTATCTGAAGCTTAGTTCATCTACATGCGAATCACGAATTGCGAAAAGCGAATAATGAACCTTTTGGTTGATTTCAAAAATGTCAAGCGGCGGGAAGCCAATTCAACCAATGTTATCATTATTCGCTTTTCGCAATTCGCAAGTAGTCATGAACCTTAACCCTCGAACATTAATATATGCTCAAAAATTGGATATCCACTTCCTCAAGCTTGTTGCTTATAGGAAACAAGCTTTCGAAATCTGTTATAAAATTTTTCCGAAAAATTATCGATGTTCTTGAGTTATTACATCTCATTGGTTATGATAACTACTGAGAATCACCTGAGAATTTCATAAATCTGTCAAAACTGGCATACCAACAATATACTGATACGTTTTGATCTTTATACTTTATAGTTTTGATTGTTGATTTGAACCTCACAGTAACACTACCTAAATAGAGAGGGCGAGTCATTCATAAAAACGCTTGGCTACATGGAGTGGGGATAAGATTGCGGACAATTCGGACCATTAACAACAAAAGTTGTTTGACATTCCTTATACTAATACTAGGGCGCATTCGCCATTAAGGTCGGGCTTGCTCAGGTAATATTTGCATCCTTCTTTATCTGGTTATCTAAACAAAGATAAAATGATTTAGGTGCGCTTTTTTTATTTATTTATTTATCAATAATTTGCCATATGTTACATGATATATAATAATTACTCACTAGAATATTACAATGATTCAAATCTTAACCTACGATACCTTATAAGCATTCGTGAAACTTGGATCTATTTACATTATGATTTTTAATTATTTTCATGAAAACATTTTATGTATTAGCCTTTTTGGCTTAGCAACTACAGTATATGGTGGAAGGAAAAGGGAGAGGGGAGGGGTAATTTATTTACAGAAGAAACAACTATCCTTAGGTCTATATACAATATATAACTGGGCATGAAGCCTTTATTTACAGTTGCGGTTTTCCTGATGGTTTTATGGTTATTTACAATATATAAAATATAACTGGACATGAAGCCTCTATTTACAGTTATGGTTTTTGATAGTTTTATGGTTATGTACAATATATAAATATATAACTGGGCACGAAGCCTTTATTTACAGTTATGGTTTAGTTGATGACTTTATGGTTGTTTACAATATATAAATATACTATAACTGGGCATGAAGCCTTTATTTACAGTTATGGTTTTGAAACGGTTTATCTACATGATGGTTATGTGGCTGGCTTTTCTGATTCTGTCTCTTCTGTCCTATAATAGGGGTGGATAACCTTATGCTTTGGAACATAGGGCATTGTTTCAAGCGTGTAGGTGCCTATGTGAATTGTGTTTTCTACTTTCCTCGTTGTGTACTTGAAAAACTTCTCAGTCCGTTCCATCAGGACTTCGGACTGAGGGTGCTATTGGTATACACCTTTTGATTGGTCCAGTACTGGTCCCATGAAATGCCCTGGATGGTTCTGAGCATTTCAGTTTCAAGGGAGGCCAATTTGGTTTTATGGAAGTTGGCAGCGGAGCTCCAGATTGGATAGGTGTAGAGGATTATTCGTCGTATGTATGCCTTATAGATTCTTTCTTTGATGTTTTGCTCCAGTCTGGAGATCCACCAAATAAACGGATAAATGGCGCTAGCTGCTACACCAGCTTTCTGTCTCACGTTAGTTATATGAGTTTTGAAAAGTAATTTCCTGTCCAGCTTCACGCCTAGGTAGTTGACCTCCTCCATGCTGTGTACGGCTGTTCTGTTTATGTGCAGCGTGGTAGTTCTGGGTTTATTTTATGATTAAAATTGATTAGCCTCCATTTAGTACTAATTTCCATTTATTTATTATATAGTCGATTTTTTGGTCCAGGTGGCTTTGGATCTTGCTGGTTGAGTTTTCAGGTCTTCTGGAGCTGGTAAATATGGCAATATCATCTGCATAGAGGGCGATTTTGGTTTGCTTGTTAATAGGAATGTCGTTAATAAAAATATTGAAAAGTGTGGGGGCCAAGACACTGCCTTTGGGGAGTCCTTGGTTTATTGGTCTTCTGTCAGATTCTATATTGTTGATGATGATTTTAAAGGTTTTGTCGTCTAGGTAGTTGGCAATGATTTTAGTAATGCGTGTGTTCGCTTGCGTCCTGTAGAGTTTGATTATCATTAGGGCTTCGCGAGACCACAAGACTAGTCTTGGTCTTGTCTTGGTCTTGGTAGCAAGACCAAGACCAAGACCGAGACCAAGACCTGATAAATCTTCTCAAGACCAAGACCAAGACTTGACGTTCAAGACCAAGACCAATACCAAGACTCTCTCTCAAGACTCTTGTCTTGGTCTTGGTGTTGAAAAGAAAAATCGACTCAATATTTATAAAAATATGCAAATTCCTATATCTTCTCTTAATGTCTTTTAATTAAATCATTTCATCAAGTTTATTATTTTTTGAAATTCACGAGAAGGTATTATAGGTTTTAAAAATACATACATACAATATAGTGTAGGTAACATTCATTTACACAGAACACATCGATATTTTCCTATCCCTACATAATACAATATCTAAGTATTGGAATTTCCAAAGATAATTCTTAACTAACTAACTAACACAAACTAACACAAACTCCACATCTTACCCAAATTAACCCAAATCCAATTATTGTGAATGGGCCAATAAAATTCAAATGATGTATGTCACTATGTGAGGGTTCTCGAAAACCTTTCTCTGGCCTGAATGCTCAGGTAGGTATGTTAGGTTTAATCTATGGTTCAAAAAGAAATTTATTCTTTTCCTCGGTACAGAATGGCAATTTTATGATGTGTTTGTCAACTTTCCGGTTCCGTTAATAATAATTATAATTCAAGAATTGATGTTTATTTGTTCCTCTGTGTCGTGGAATGCTTCATGCGGTATTTTTTGACATGAAACGCTCTTGGTGGTAAAAATAGCCCGTGAAGAAGACCAAATGCATGGTCGAAACGTCGGCATAATTTTTCCAGAAAGGGAGGTTTATTTTTTATTTTTGACGTCCTAAACCCATTATCTCTGCTCGGCGGTTGGATGTTATGTATATATTAAAAATTTGGTATACATTTTTTTCAAGACTATCAAGACCAAGACCAAGACTATCAAGACTAAGACCAAGACTGAGCCAGTCTTGTCTTGGTCTTGAAACATCAAGACCAAGGCCAATACCAAGACCGCATTTATTTTTCGAGACCAAGACCAAGACTGGCCAGTCTTGGTCAAGCAAATTGTTCTGGAATGATTGTGTTGTTATCTTCCAGATGTTTGGTTAGTCTTTTGTTCGATAGTCTTTCCAATATTTTCCCTAGGTAGTCCAGTAGGGATATGGGCCAGTAGTTTACCGTTATTATAGGGCTTTTGTTTGGTTTTGGAAAGACTATGAAGTTTGCATTTTTCCATCTTGATGGGAAGTAGTTTGTCTTAATGCATTAATATACATTAGTTGGACAATGGCTTTCCTGGGGAGGTGCTTCAGGTCCTTCATGACGATGCCATCTTCTCCAGGCGCTTTGAATGGTTTGGCTCTGGAGATTATTCCATTAATAAGCTTCGGACTTAGACTTCTGGCTTCTGCTTCGGCTTCGGAGATCGGAGGAGATTTTT